ATGGTGAATAAAATTAAAATTTAAGTAGGGCCCAGAGGAATGTGATCCAGTCAATTCGAATGGAATCGACTCTCCGAGTGAGAAGTGCCTTCTGCCTCCCCATTCAACCACATCGAGGTCATCTGCGGTTTACGTTTTCTTTTACTGTTAAAAAACAAAAATAATAAAAAAAATCCCAACCTTTACGTATTTCCAGTTTAATATTCATAAGCTTTGAAAAGTCTATTTAAACTTCTCATTAGTAAAATTGCTACCTTTACTCCTGCCACACTTTTTAAGGTAGCAAAACATTTTATTATTATTACTGCTGTTTATTATTTTATTTTTAAAGTTATTCTTATTTTATTATTATTCTCTATCTTTCTTGTGTATTTATTAGTTATTTCTTGATATAGATATTTATATACAAAATTATAATGAATAACAATCATTATAATTTTGATATCCTATCTTGTAACTATACTTTTTTCATATTTAAATATTTATGTAAAATATTTGTTTTACGTTTATATAATAATTGATTTTATTTGAGTTATTTGTTTGTGTACACTTGAATTAATGATTGATAGGATAGCTATCGGAAAATTTATAGAAGAAAATATAAACGGAAAAAAAAGTTTTAATTGGAAATCATAATTGGCTTATTTCACTTTAGATATAAACATTTTCTACTCAAGTTTTTGCTGCTCTTGAGGGAGTTCGATTCACAAACCATATTTGCCAATTATTTTATTTTTCTTTTTCATTACAAATACATAATATTTGATTTGTTATTTTTCCATTTTTTTAAACCTCATGAAAATATTACATTTAATACATTCTAAAGAAGAAATTTACATTGAAATTAAAAATTACAATTTTATTCAGTTTTTGTCTATTACGTTCTATTAATTTATCATTTTTTCTAATTAAATATTACATATTAAAAAGTAAAATTATGAATACGTTAATTATTTATTTGGATAGGTACGTGCGTTCTTAATTATAGCATTATCAGGGTTGCCACAAAAATTTAATTTTGTTTTCCCTGACTTTTCCCTGATCTACAGTCAAAATTTTGACTTTTTCCCTGTCACTAAAGAATATTCTGATTCACTCTAAAAATTATTAGATATTTAAAAAAATGTTCTATTACATTTATTTACGAATTTCTTTAATTATTATTGTAAAATTATTCAAAAACACCAATAACTTTATTTTTAAATCAATATTTAATAATTATTGTTTTTCCGTGGGAACTATGTAAGATTTTCAAAATTTCTAATTCAAACCTTTTGAAATTCAATAACTTATGAGATGACCGAGTGATAAAATCATTACATTGAGAAAACTGGAGTATTGGACTAAACATCTGGAGAGACAAATCGTTCATATTTGAGAGTTAGCTATTGGATAACAATCTAAATGTTCAAATTCACCATTGACAGATATTCGTGCCATTTCTCTAACAGAGGGACAAATTAACCATCTTGGGAAATCCCTTCCTTATCCGGCGCGAAATGAATAAATATGGCAACCTAACCCCTAAATTAAATACATAAAATGTCAGAAAAATAATTTCGCGCGCATCAGATCGTACACATTTTCTGCGCAACTTTTAACCCTCAGCTCAGATATAATGGGAGAGAATATACAAGTAGATTTCCATTATCAATTCAAAATTTATTTTAGAAGGACTATTTAACTCTCTTCATAAGCAATAAAGGAAACATACACTTTTTGAACCTCTGAATTTGACTCTCCAGTTTTCTCAGTGTATTTTATATTATAAGAATATTGTTACTGCAACTTCTTCAAAAATATTTTCATCATTTCAATTCAATTATTATTTTCTACAAGTTTTAACTAAAATTCTTCTTAAATCAATTATTTTTAATAATTTTTAAAAAAGTTATTTCAGAATTTTCAAAATTTGAAATTTGTTTAGTATTCGAAAATTCTTTAATTAAATCGAATTAAATATAAATTAGAAAATGATAATTTTAAATAATTTAAAAAAATTTCGATTAAGCTTTTTGAAAAAAATTAGTTCCATTGAATTTTTAATTTAAAGTATGAAAAATTCAAATTTTATAAAATTTTAATTTGGAACCTTCCCAAGCAGCACGTAAGCTTATCTTAACATCACTGTAATATTACATTGGAGATTCGTCATATTACACTGTAATATTACAGTATGATCTTATTGGGATATCAAAATGTCCGCCTGATGGAGGTAGGTAATATTACGTTGTTATATAAGGCTATTCAAGTTCGGTGGGGGAAAATTCAAGATGGATGCTAACTGGTGCACCAACATTGTATAGAAAGTGTATGGGATAGAGTCTAATTTTTTAAATATCTCGCTTAAACGAAATTTTTAACCATAAGTTTATTAGGATTTTATGTTTCATTTTTAAAGAACTATTTTTTGCAATAATAAAAATCGATTTTATTTTTTTATTGATTTTATTATTGCAAAAAATAGTTCTTTAAAAATAAAACATAAAATCCTAATAAACTTATGGTTAAAAATTTCGTTTAAGCGAGATATTTAAAAAATATACCGTCGAGAATCTTAATACACTACAAGTAAGTTTGGCTCAGTGGTAAGACTCATGATTACTATGCACATGGTTCAGGGTTCGAGTCCAGCTTTGTGAAATGTTTTTTTCTAAATTATAAAATTATTCTAATTTTATCTGAATATTACCTTAACATTGCACGTTAATATTACAGTGTAATACTACCTTAATATTACCAGGTAATATTCTCTTAATATAACAATGTAATATTACCTCCAGTCGGACATTTTGATATCCCTATAAGATCACTGTAATATTACAATGCAATATGACGAATCTCCAATGTAATATTACAGTGATGTCAAGATGAGCTTACGTGCTGCTTGGGTTTAGGTACAATATTCAATTATTTCTGAAAATTTCAATTATTATTAATTTTTAAATAAATTTTTATTAGAAAATTCTACGAGAATTCAATTATTTAAATAAAAACATAGATCAGTTATTGAATAATTGAATGTTTCTTAAAAATGAATTCTTATTATTTTATCAACACATTTGTAAATAATTGAATTCTTTCGACGAATTTTAATAGGGGAGAGTGGGGCAAACCGGCCAGGTGTCAATATCTCCGAAGTGGAGAAATTGTCAAAAGTGCTATTTAGAAATTTGAAACAACCATGTAGTATACTTTATTTTTTAAATTTGACATTTTTTACATTTGTTAGTGCAACGATAGGGGGCAAAAGTTTTTTTTTAGTTTTTTCTACACTTTGACGAATTTTTTCTTAAAGAAATTCTGAGGAAATCGTGTAATATTTCCAAATATTAGGTCTTAGGTTTTGAAGGTACACACCTCAGGAATATTTACCACCAAAAAGTTTAATGAATTTGCAAAGCGGTTTTTTTAAACAAATATTAATTCTCAAAATGAGCCTGTGGGGCAAACCGGTCATAGAATAATTTCATTGTATCAGAGTTTCACGAAAATTATTATTAATTAGAATGTTTTTTTATTAAAATATTTACTTTCAATGAAAAATAATTATCTTTCAATGAGAATTAGACCCTTTAATATTGTTTCCCTGATAATTTCAAACATTTTTATTTTGTTATTAAAAAAAATTATTTATTTCATTAAAATTCAATCCTGTATTATTATTTACATTATTACAACCATTGTTCACATGATTCTTTATATTTGTTGTTATTGTAGATTATAAAAATGCAATATTATAGATAAAAAACCCAACTGGCCGGTTTACCCCAGCGGGTGGGGCAAACCGGCCAGTTTGCAAATTTTTTTAAAGTTAACACAGCAACTAAACAATTAAAGATGAAGTATATGTGTCTCTGGGAAAAAGTTGCGCAATTAAATGATCTTTCAAACAAGCCATCGAAAAATGAAATCGGTTGATTCGTTTAGTCACAAGAGTAAAAAAACCGTTAGTATGGCCGGTTTGCCCCACTCTCCCCTAACATATTTAAGAATAATAAAATTCGATTAAAATTGTATTAAAAATAATTGAAATTCTACAATGAGTTTTATTATTTATGAAAATAATTGAATTATTGCAAAGAATTTTATAAAAAAGTTTCAAACAATTGATTTTTTTCGAAAAAATTTATGCAAATTCTATATTTTTAATAATTGAATTCATGTGAATTTCCCATTATTTTAGAAAATAATTTAATATTCATGTAGAAATTTATTAAAATTGTTTTTAAATAATTGAATTCTTTTGGGGAATTTTATTAAAATAACAGATATACAAATTATTAAATTAAGAAAAATTTTTGAAAATAATTGAAATTTTGCCATGAATTTTATTAAACTTTTTGAAAATAATTGAATTTTTGGCATGAATTTTAATATTTATGACGATATATAGTTGAATTCTTTCAAAGAATTGCATTAAAATTTTTAAAATTAAAACTACATAATTTCAACAGAATTGAAATTAAAAATTTTCAAAAAAATACTTCATTAAATGATTTATAATTAATAACTTTATGGCAGTTCTTCATTAGAATTAAGTTATTTAAAATCAATTATTGATAGAAGTAGAAACAATTTAATAAGGTTTTTTTAGAATTCTACTTTCCCTGACTTTTTTCTGAATTCCTTGATTTCCCTGATATGACCTGTGTTTTGAATTGGTAAATTTTACTAATAAATAGTAGGTATAGTTTCTACTAATTTATTAGAATAATTTACTAATTTAAAAGCAAAAAGTCATTAGGTAATTTAAATTAGTAACCATTTTTTACTAATTCAAAAGAGAGTACTATTTATTTGTTTGAGAAAGATTTTCTTCAGTACAACTGTAGATTTTATTTGGTGCAAATGAATTTTATTTGATGCAAACAAAAATGTTATTTGCGGAAAATAAAATTCATTTGTTGAAATATAGAAATAAGAGAAATTTTGAAAATTATGAAAATATATAACAATTGTAAATTGATATACAAATGTGTGTGCATATTTATTTTCAGAATAAACAATTAGAAGATGGTAGCATGAGCAATGGTAATACTGGAGGAGGAGTAGGAGGAGGTTGTAGGATTCCATTATCAATTTCGTGGCTGAAAAGTCAAACACCGTTGACGCCCACGTCCCGAATTGAAAGCGGTTCACTCGCAGCGGATATGAACGTTCAAGTCGACAGCGCCGGTTCACCTACGCTGAGACTCGTCAGCGTAAAGGTATGTACAATTATATACATACATATATATATTACACTCTCTCAATTGACGAAGAGCTAACAAACATTACATTAACGCGGTCAAGACTAAAGCGAAGACTAAAACTAACACCACCTCTCTCTCACACTCAAATCTTACCAAGCGAATCTACTTTAATTAGAATCTATCCCAACCTAACAAGCTTACAGAGTATATAAACAGTACAATATTACCTATTACAATATTACCCATTATTTACAATTTAAATTTAATATTCAATCAATTTTGAAATTGGTATATACATATACACAGTAAATACATAATAGGAGTTCGTTTTAAAAATATATAGTATAAAATACAATTAAATATATTTATAACAGCGATTACCGCTCTCTAAATCTGAACTGAAATTTCAGTCATTTTCCACTGATTCGCCAATTAAAAAACTACTGAAAATTTCTGTCACACATAGGGGAGAGTGGGGCAAAATGGGGTAGGCGGGTCAAATGGGGTGCCCCTGTTTTTCCATGATCGGTACTTTTAATTCTTTTATCCTCGATATATATAATTCATATTGATAAGAAACTGTCATTAATTATGAAGACACTACAAATTTTTTTTTTTAATGTTATACAACTTTAAAGTTTTAAGCAAAAAAAATATGAATATTTATCGAAATTAAAGTGCTTACAAAACTTTTTGGGATAATGCATTTAATTTGTCAAGTGTGGGATCTTTTTCAGCACTTATTCTAGAGAAATTTCCAATAGAATAGAGATTGTATTGTTTACAATAACTAGGAAACATTAACCCAGGTAGAAATTGACGACCGGGATGGTACCGGCCCGGTACAAACGGCGGATTATAAGTGCCGGGGCGGTACCGGCATAAGACCGCAATTTTCAACGTCTTGGTACCGGCAAATTGCCGGATGATAACTGCGGCAGGTATCCGGCATACGTACCGGGCCGGTACCGAATAATCCACCGGGACGGTACTGGCCCGGTTATTGTTGGAAGGCCTTTGGTGCCGGTTTATTACCGGCTGCACAACCGGCTAGGTACTGGTCCAGTACCGGCATAAGTCTGTTCATTCCACCGGCGCAGTACCGGTAAATTGCCGGATGATAACTTCGGTAGGTATCCGGCAACCGTACCGGGCCGGCACTAATAAATATCTGACGCAGTACCGGGCCGGCACTAAAAAACAACCGGTGTGGTACCGGGCCGGTTAAAAAAATTATATTTCAGTCTGAACTCCGGACCCTGAGGCTGCAAAGTCGACACCACATCCGCTAACCTAAACCTGCATATGGAAAGCAAATGCAAAGTGAGCTTATAAAGTCCAACCGACATTCCACCTGGCAGCAGTACCGGGCCGGCACTAATATTCAACCGGTGCGGTACCGGGCCAGTATTTGTATTTCTAATTTATTTTAATTCAATTTAAATTATTAAAAATAAATAAATAAAAATAGTAATTATATAAATAATAATAACCACACTATTCACCGGTTAAATACCGGGCCGGCACCAATAAGCAACCTACTCGGTATTAACATAATTGCCGGCACAACTAACTAATTAATTTATTATTAATAATTAAATTAATAAATTAATTAATAAATTAATTTTCAAATTCTTTTTCTTTTCTTTAATTCTTTTTCTGATAGTTTAACATTGGCAAACAACCGGGAGGACACTGGGTTAGTACTAATATTTTTGTCGGCAAAACTTCTGTGCCAGTAGAAAGCATTAAGTAAATTTTTGTGCTGGGCCGGCACAAACATTATCACCGGAAAATCTCCTTCGGCGGTATAAAACAGAGCGAAATGACAGTACCGGGCCGGTGATACGCCGGTGCTGGGCCGGTACAAATATTATCACCGGCAAATCTCCGTCGGCGGTATAAACCAGAGCGAAATGACAGTACCGGGCCGGTGATACGCCGGTGCTGGGCCGGTACAAATATTATCACCGGCAAATCTCCTACGGCGGTATAAACCAGAGCGAAATGACAGTACCGGGCCGGTGATACGCCGGTGCTGGGCCGGTACAAATATTATCACCGGCAAATCTCCTACGGCGGTATAAACCAGAGCGAAATGACAGTACCGGGCCGGTGATACGCCGGTGCTGGGCCGGTACAAATATTATCACCGGCAAATCTCCGTCGGCGGTATAAAACAGAGCAAAATGACAGTACCGGGCCGGTGCTGGGCCGGTAAAAATATTATCACCGGCAAATCTCCTTGGGCGGTATAAAAAAAGAAGTAAATTATAGTACCGGGCCGGTGCTGGGTCAGATATTTTTAATCAACCGGCCCGGTACACACTACCAGTACTGGTAGAAATACATTTACCACCGGGCCGGTACTGGGCCGGTATTTATTTCATATCCGGCCCAGTACCTTTTTGCCGGTACCGGCATATGTCCGACTTTACAACCGGTTCGGTACCATGCCGGTCGTTAGTGCTGGCACACCTCCAACTTTTCTGCCTGGGAAACGGAGAAAATTTGTTCCTTATATTTTACCGAATTTTTCAATAAAGTTGGGATATAGTAACATAATCGTAATTTTTAAAAATTCTTGAATTATTTTTTCAGTAATAATATTTAAAAGTTTATGTGATATCTTTATTCCTTACAAACTAGTACTGTAAAAGTTAAAAAAAAATTGAAACTGAATGTTTAATAAAAATTAAATAAATACCTACTTGATGAGCACTAACGTTTCAGGAATAGTTCGGTAAAACTTCCTTGACTTGCCTAAAGTGTTAGTTTTCTGGATTGAAATACATTATTTTTTATCCCACATGCACAAAAATGGCGCTTTTAGGTTGAGTCCACAATGAAATAAATCGCCTCGATTTCGATGCGCAGTAAGCAAAAATATGTATGTACGCGCATCGAATCGTCTTGAAAGTGGAGACGATTTTTAGCTATTCTGGAATCAGCCTTAGATAGCTGACGACAGGGAGTAAAGTCACTCATTTGTTCGACCCAAGAAGACTAGAGACAGGAGGTAAAACTTCGGTAGTGGGGGTATGGCAATGCTGAGTCGCTCAGCTGATGTATGGTCAGGCGTTTACTTTCAAAAAAAGTTTTCGCCGCAGTATACCAGACGGACTTCTGCGCAATCTAACACACGTAAACACGGGAAAATATATTCTATACAAATACAATATGAAATATAAGTGTTTATATTTTCAAACCTCTTTTAGTTATTAAAAAAACGTTTTAAAAACAAAAAAATGTGTAAACTGTAGCATGAAGTGTATTAAAAGTTAACAAAAAGTAATAGTCATAGTGTTGTGTAGGTTTATCTTTCTTCTTGTTACAACTTTTCACACAGCACGTTTTCGGAATTTTTAACTATTTGAATAACACTTAATTTAATAATCACTCACATTATTTCTATATATCCGTTATGACACACATTGTCAATTGTGTCTCGATTGCACTGATTGCACTTTAAAGTTAACCTCAAATTAAAATCATCTCATACACATATGTAAAACATGGTATACAAGAATTTGAATGTGTGAGTGATGTGCAGAAGCACCGCGCCGGCGACTTTTCGAAACGAAAAACGCCTGGTTAATGAAAGGCTTTTGACTCATTCCCACTACCGAAGTTTCACCTCCTGTCTCTAGCCTTCTTGGTATTAGTGTATGCGTTTAGAATGTAGGCAGGTGTATCAATTAGTATTTGTTCGTAAACAATTGTAGGGGGTTCAGGTAGTGATTGAAGTAGGTAAATTGAGAGTTACGGCAGTATTAATATAGATCTACTGAATTGACATTATTAACTGTAAGTGAAGCGCCAATAAATGTATCGTAAGGTTTATGCTTTTTACATTATTTTTCAATGCAATTTCTTTTACAGTCTAGTTCTTGAAAAATTACTGTTTTGACAGTTCATCCCAGTTTTACCGAACTAAATTCAGTAAAATTTCAGGAATAAATTTTCTCCGTGTATGTATATGGCACTTAAATTTATAATTTAGAACAATTATTTGAAATAATAAAATAGATAATTAGAGTGATTATTTGTCTTAAAATTTTCTTCACCAATATTAATATTTTTTTGCAAAATTAATTCTACTTTATTGTTTTAATTATTTTTATAATTCTTTATGTTTATTACTTTAACCCATACTATTAATAAGGGAGCGTTCATAAATGATGTCACGTTTTTGGGGGGATCTCTACTAAACGTGACACAATGTATTTTTACATGTGAAATTGCGTGACATATTGCACTTACATAGGTTAAAATCCCCGTACAGGATCCTTAAAGGATCCTCTCGGGATCCTGTGCAGGATCCCGACAGGATCCCGTACCCGTCCTGTACAGGATCCCGACCGGATCCCGTGCAGGAAATTGGAACAGGGTTCCTGTGCAGGTTCCGATGCAGGAACCTTATCTATCAAAGGTTCCTATAAAGGTTCCTGTACAGGGACACTTGCAGGATCATGTACAGGAAACTTTTTAATTTTTTTAATTTTTATATGTTAAGCAACATTTGACATACATAGACTTCATATTTCAATATGTTAGGCTCGTATAACAATGTTGGCCAGAAAAATGTATTGCGCATTCGAGAAACTCATAGAAAACTACTGCGCAGGAGTTAAAAATATAAATAAATTAATTGAGGAAACTGTGTAGGATCCTTTACGGGTTCCTTACGGGATCCTTTATACTTAAGTACCTGCAGTTTACAAAACTACAAAGGTTCCTGTGCAGGAACCTTTATAAAGTTTCCTGTACATGATCCTGCAAGTGTTCCTGTACAGGAACCTTTACATGAAACTTTGATAGCTAAGGTTCCTGCATCGCAACCTGTACAGGAACCTTGTCCCAATTTCCTGCACGGGATCCGGTCGGGATCCTGCACAGGACCTGCACAGGATCCCGACAGGATCCTTTAAGGATCCTGCACGGGGATTTTAACCTGGGTATAGTTTTAAATTTTTTTTATTTTTGAAAAAAAATAAACTGTATTTGGTTAAAAGCATTTTGAGAAAATGATATTTTAAAATAATTTCTTTACACTTGTCACGTTTCAAAATACCACATTTTAAATAATAGAATGTAGCTTTTCTAAATGATTATTTTTCTTTAAATTTTCTTGAGCAAATAAAACACGATTTTTGCTACCTCGTGGAAGCATTGATTTACTGAATATTTTTAAACTCAATTTTCTTTGTGTTCTAACCTTAGGAACACAACAATCATATTTTTAAAAAAATGTCATTTTTTATGTGTGGTGATTGTAAACATTACTTTCTCATAAATACATATCTTGAGTTCTAAAGGAGCTAAAGGTATAAATTGTTTTCAAATTATAGATCTCATTAGCAGGCACATAATTAGTGATCCCTTAGTTGAACATTCTTCGTACATGTTAGGCAAAGTTAATTATTTATGTTTTTAAAATTAGAAATTAAAAAAAAATAACTTTCTGTGTTTTTTGTTTTTTTGCGATAACATCACAATGATAATTGCAAGGGGTTAAATTTGTTTACACAATGTTTATAACAATAGTAATTGTTAATTTCATTATTTTTTTGTTAACAATTATATAAACAACTTAATAATCAAAATAATAGGAAGGATTAACTAAACAGAAGTAGAACAAGATCATGCAACACATGTACCTCAGATGCGACGCATTTGCGTAAGTGCAAAGTATGTGTGCTGCCGGACAAAAAAAATTCGATAATTCGGTTAGTTTTAAAGTCTCCAGAAATATTTTTTTTGCAAAAAATTCTGGAGAAGATAAGGAATCCACATATCATAGTTCCAAAAAATCAAAGGGGTGCTCTTATGCCCGAAAAAATGAAATCAAAATTTTTTTTGACTTTTTTTCCGGGCAAATTTTGGATTTTTTGTTTTTTAATATTGCACTTTAAATTGTTAAAAAATCAATTATTATTACCTAAAATATAAACAAAATCAAACTAAATGGACAAAAGTTATTCGTTTTTTTAAAAAATGTAGGTACTTTAATGTTTGATGCCCGGTAAAATCAACAAATTTGAAAATTTTTTAAAATATTTTTTTCCTACAATCTTTTGTCGTAAAACACTGCATTTATACCAAGTTTCACAAAAATTGAAAGACCCATGACTAACTTTTATTTTTAATATAACATTAGTTTTTATTAATACAATAATATAGTTATATTTTACTCTTTTTCTTTTTACTCCAACCGGGTTTTGGTTGCTGTACAAGAACTTGAGAAATAAATTTTTTGGGATAAATAAATGTGCATTCCGAGATCCAATTTATTTTTAAAGGTAAAAAGGAAAATTTAATATATACTTGAAATGGAAAGAAAGTTTAAACGTACACTGAAAAAAAAATTTATTTGATTCAAATAATTCAAATTATTTGAAAAATATTTAATTGATTCAAATACTTTTTAGTTGGATCAAAAAAATATGTATTTGATTCAAATAACTTGAATTATTTGAATCACACTTATTTGAACCAAATAAATCGTATTTGATTCAATTAAATAATAAATTGAATTAAATAAATGAATTTGTTTAATACAAATAATGAGTTAGTTGAAACTATTCTTTTATTTATTTTACTCAAATACTTCGTATATTTGATGCAAATAAAAATTATTTGACACAATAAATTTATTTTATTGATTCTAATAAACTTAATTATTTAATCCGAATAATTCGTTATTCAAAGCTAATACACTATTTTATCAAGACAAATAAAAAAATATTTCAATCAATTAAATAATTATTTGAAACGAAAATAATGAATTACTTGAAACTGTTCATTTATTTATTTCACTTAAATATTTCATTTATTTAATATAAATAAAAAAATTTTCGACAAATAAATGTGTTATTTGGATACAGAATATACGGCACTGACATTGATATAGTAGATTAGCCCGAATTCTCACCAAGTCTCAGTGGCCGTGCGGTTTAAATAGGTGCGTTAGGGGCGGGGGGACGTGAGTTCGATCCCACATGCGAGCGAATATTTTTCATTCTTCGTTTTAAGCGTTATATAAAATAATAAAATTGTGTGTTGTGTTGTGATTAAAAACTGTGTGAACTTGTTTGTAAATAATATTAAAAGTCTGTTAAAATATCAGTTAATAAATATAATATATAAATATAATATAATAATAAATTAATAAATTAAAAAAAAACTAAACACTTAAAAAAAAAATTTTGTATTAAATATAGAATGAAATAATTTTTATAATTGATTCAAATAATTATTTACTAGCTTGAAATATTATATTTATTTGATTTGAATAATTTGTATTTGATACAAATAACTATTTATTTGATACGATAAAACGAAATACTTAGGTTTAGTAAATATTTATTTGAGTTGAATAATTTATATAATTGATTCAAATAATTGTTTATTAGTTTGAAATATTCCATTTGTTTGATTTGAATAATTTGTATTTGATTCAAATAAATAGTTATTTGATGCGATAAAATAAAATATTTAGGTCAAATAAATATGTATTTGGTTCAAATACACATTTATTGGATTATAACCAAATAAATGATTTATTTGAATCAAATAATTTTTATTTGATTCAAATAAATTTTTTTTTCAGTGTACAAATAATTCTATTTGGTATAAATGTCAAAAAAAAGAAATGAAAAAAATTTTCATCATAACTGACGAATTGTAAAGAAAACGGAGTACATTTCAATTAAAAGCCCTTCCCGCAAACACCAACATTCCAGGGTTATATGAGGAATATCTACGGAATTCCCGACATCACCCTGCAGGCATATCATTGGCATTCTCTGACAGGTGAAATTTAGTTCTGACAGAGACGTTTTTGAAAAATTGAAATCACAAATGCAGAAACGTTAAAATCAAAAGCTTTTGAATTTTCAATTCATACTCTTCCATTCATTCTCAAAACTTCCAGGATTATGTTAATTTTTTTCCTATAAATAATTTAAATTATTTAGAAAATTTTAAAAAAATAATTTAAATTATTTAGAGAATTTTTAAAAATAAATTAAAATTATTTAGAGAATTACGAAAGGTAAATTAAAATTATTTAGAGAATAATTTTTTCAATACAATGTTAACTTTATTTTCAATTTCATTTGTAATTAAACATTGTTTAAAAATTTGAAACTTGAGCACCGAAATAACAATAAATTAAATAATTAATTAAATATTACCTATAATTTTAAAACAAAATGAAAGAAACCTAATTTGAACTTAGAAATTAGTTTTTGTTTCCTCTTTCTCTTTCTCTTTCCCTGCTTGCTATTATTTATTCGTTGCAATTGAATACGAGGATACAAAGTCCCCAATTTCAGTGAAGCTTCTCTCCAATTTTACACTAGCAACTGCCAATCATTGTAGTCAGGAAACTGACACTCCCAGTAACCCTCGTCTTCCAATATTGCTGCTTTAAACTGATCAATCCTTTATTCATAGGAGTCGTCTTCATCTTGATTTTCAATATTAAACAATTGGATTTCAACTAGTTGGATTCCGAAATTTGCCAAAACTTATTTTTTGCAAATTCCTTTTTCTTCTTTCAAAGAAAATTTCTTCTTTTCCTAGAAAAAACATTAAAAATATAATATATTAATAGTAATAATAATTATAGAGGTACCTAATAATAATCAAAATATTCTGTCCTCATGTAAATGTTTGATTCCAAATTTTTTTACAACTCAAACTATAGTGTCAAAAGTTTGAAAATTAATTTTTAAATAGAGTGATAAGTGTTTTATTGAAATTAATCTTTTATATTAGTATTTTAATTAATTAATTATATTCAAAAATTAAAATAATTTCAAAAAAATTTGAACTAAAATTTTTTAAAAAACAAAGTTCTTTAGAAGTTTTAATAAAAATTACTCCAAAAATTCAAACTTTTCAAAAATTAAAATTTTAAACCATTCGTATTTTTTCTAAAAATTGAAACTAACTTTTCCAAAATTCAATTATTTTCTAGAATTTATAACTTTAATTACTCTCTCAATGAATTGTTTTTAATAATTTAAAAAAAAAATTCTTCGAGAGTTTTATTATTACAAAAATGATTATTTCATTTAAAATTCGTCTAAAATTCAATTGTGTTCGATTCAATATTATGAAATTTGAATTATTCAAAAGTTATCCAGTTAAATTTAAATTTAAAAATTCAAATAATTACAACAAAATTTGAATAAAAAATTTTCAGAAAACGAACTTCTTTAGATTTTTTAATTAAAGTTACTGAAAATTCAAATTTTCTGAAATTTTAATTTGAAACCTTCTGAAATTTACAATTGTTTCAAAAAATGTTTACTATAACTTTTTTAATATTCAATTCTTTTCTAAAATTTTTTAATCACAATTCTTCTCTAAATCAATTTTTTAAAATAATTATGTGAAACTTCTTTATAAAAGTTTAATTATTTAAAAATAAATTAAAAGGAAATTCGTCTTAAATTCATTTGTTTTCAATTCAATATCAAGAAATTTTGATCATTCGAAAATGTTTTAATTAAATAATCGATACTCAAAAGCTCTCAACTAATTTTTAAAAAAATATTCTTTAGAATTCTCAAAATTGAAATTCTTAAAAATTTTTAATTTTAAACCTTTTTAAATTTGATGATTTATAAAAATTATTTTGATGACTTCCCGAGATGAAATTTTCAACTTACATTGGCCCATAAAAACCTAGTTTAAAACTGATTCAAACCTTTTAACGATTGTTTGACCCTTATGGCATTACTTTAACCTTTAATCAACCTTCGATTGTACATTTCCAACCCTAAAAGGAACCTTATGAACCTCAAAAGAACTTCTTAATTTTATGATTCTAAAATAGTCAACCTTACTAACCTTCCTTTAACCCTAACATACACTACTTTCTTCCTCACCAACTTCGTTTGAACCTAAAAAATTGATTTTCGAATCTCCTTTGTCCCAAAAATATCCTTTATCGTTTCCGGAAACAGACCATAAAAATGTAGGCAATCATAAAAATGGGACCAAAAATTGTTAGCAATCCTAAAGTAAGTGTTTAAAGATGTTTAGCTTAGTGGAGCTTAGTGGATCTTAGTGGATATGAAGAGGTATATTATATGAATAAATATACACAAAATATAGTTTTGGGATTTCCAAATTGCCCACCCAAAAATTTACTATAGTAAAAACACAACTATCACATGGCCCAAAACTCATATTGCAGTTAGTTTTTCGTCAACTACGACAAAGTTTGCACTCATTTTTTGAAAGTGTCGAATAAAATTTGATTTAAACAAAATTTATGTAATAAAAATATAAAAAAAACAATTTTGTGCTTGTGTGGTGGGTGACAAGTAAGATAAAAACTATCAAGGAGTAGGTGGACCCTAATGAACCGAAATCAAAAGGTTAATTATCAAGGATTGTAATGTTTGGAGGATTGGAGGTAAGTGATATTTATTTTGTGTAATAATATTAAATAACTTCAAATATCACAGGTACACTACAAAAACTGGTATCTCACTCGTGTCTTAAAATGAGTTCCTTTAAGTGTTTAAACCATTGAGATACAAAATCTGTTTTATATTGAGACATTTAATTTCATCTCGTGTCTCATTTTAAGACATTAAAGGTAATTCAATGCGTATAAGACACGTAAAACGTCTTCTTAGTGTGAGACTGATACTCGAAACACATTTCGTGTCTCAAAATGCATTGCTAAATGTGTAAGACACTTTGAAACGTCTTAAAATGAGACACATATCTGTTTCAAATATGTGGACTAAGACATCTTATGTGTTTCAAATATGGGACAAAACGTCTCAAAATGAGACACTTGTTTTTGCAGTGTATTAGGCGTAAAAACACAATATCCATTGTTAACCCTACATTAAAAAAATTATTTAAATCAAATGTTATATTACTGAGGCAATAATGAAACGATATTATACCAAGCATTTTCGCATAGTATTAAATATTTTGTATTTAGAACAAATATTATAAATTATTTCAACGTTGTCTTCAGATCATCACAATAAAAATTACCGCTGTATTGAATGACAATATTACCTGAATATTTTCGAGCATCGACACTACAATGTCGCCATGCTTTATTGCTTCAAGTCGAATATAATATTTGCAAAAATATTGGCAATATTTCTATGCAATATTAATCTATTTTATTTATTGTTTAGAATGGACAAGAAGATTGTTAACTGGATGATGTAAAGCTGACAAGGGCCGATTATATCAACATCATGAATAAAAAAGATTCCAACAAAATATATATAAAATGCAAAAAGAAAAAAGAGCAATAATATAAAAAAATTCGAATTAAGTGAGAAACTTAATAATAATGTTTGTTGTAACTTTTAAAGTTTAATTTAATTTAAAATGTAAAAACTATAATTGTAAAAGTAACAAATAAAAAATTCATAAATCTGAAAAACGTCATTTTCTTTCATTTAATCCTGCTTGGCAATAAAATAGGCCATAAATATGGAAACACTCCAGACGCTACCTTAAGGGCATTTGAACCATGATGACGTCACAGATTTAAAACTAATGCTTTGCACAAACTGTGACGTCATCAAGGTTCAAATCCCCTTAAGGAATCTTAACCCTACATGTACGTGCTTCATTAGCAGGTATAAATCGCACTGTCGAACCTTCTATCAAACTTTTGAGGCTGCAAAATAAACCTTACAACACTATAATCAACCAGAAAATAGAAAAAACTGGACGAAAGTGACAAAACTTAGCCTGATTGTAGCTTCGTTAGGAGCAAATATCTATTATAAGTCGGTTTCAAATGAATATTATAAGATTTTTAAGGGGTAAAGAATTGTAGATTCAAAGCATGTTGAAAGTAGGCTGAAAATTTTGTCTCGGGTTCTATATAATAATTATTTTCTACAATTTTTAACTAAAATTCTTCTTTAAATCAATTATTTTTAATAGTTTTTGAAAAAGTTCTTTGAGAATTCAATTATTATTTAAAGAAACAGAGAAAGTTCAAGATAAAATATTTCTGAAATCCATTTTCTTACAATTCGAAAAATTCAAACTAATTTAAACAAAATTTGAATATTTATTAATTTTAGATAAATTCTATTTATTTTAGAAATTTTATTTTATTTTATTTATTTTAGAATTTATTAATTTTAGATAAATTTTTATCTAAAAACTAACTTCTTCAGAATTTGTAATAAATATTTTTTTAAAAAATATGTACAAATTTTCTAAAACTTGTATTTGAAACTTATTGCAATTCAATTATTTATAAAAAATAGAAACGCAACTCTACTAAAATTAAAATATTTTTGGAAATTTTAGGTAAAATTCGAAAGTTTTTAAATTAAATATAGATATATTTAAAAATTCAACTAATTTCAAGGAAATTTGAATAAAAAATTTTCAGAAAACTAAGTTCTTTAGACTTTTTTTATTAATGTTACTGACAATTTAAATTTTCTAAAATTTTAATTTTAAACCTCTGAAATTTAAAATTGTTTAAAAAAATTTTTTTATAACTTTTTTGATATTCAATTATTTTCTGGAATTTTTTAACCGCACAATTCTAATATTGATAATATTTTTCTAAAATTATTTTTAAGATTTTAATTCAATTATTTTCTAGAATTTTCAACTAAAATTCTTCTCTAAATCAATTAATTTTTAATAAGTAATATAAATAATTACTATAAATTATATATTTTAAAAATTCTACGAATTTTCGTTTCAAATAAAATAAAATTGAAAAATGTATCAAATTTTGAAATGAAAATCTAAAATTTCTTTCATGTAATACATTTACCAGTGAAAGAATTTTAATAATAATAATAATAATTGAAAATCGAATTTTCCTTAAAAATCCACGTGTGAATTCGAGTTAATAGTCAAAGAGTTAAACGCAATGTCAACTAACTTTTGCTTTAGATGCAAAAACTCTGATGGCAAACAAACTCTCTCGTCACAGGAATATACCCTTGAAGCTTGAAGCCCACTCTTAACACAAGGAGACTTTAACATCGCTTGGTAAAATACTCTAATCCTAGAATACTCCAATTTCTAGTTTGTATCACAACTTTTCCATTTTTTTTCTTTCCTACAAAATATACACAACTCCAAGTTTCTTTCGTCACTGATTCATAAAAGTTATTAGCCCCGAACAATTCCACATCTATACTGGTTATAAAAATAGGTCACGCATTGACTTTCCTGCAAAAAATTACCCACAAATTTTATGTAGTAAAAATTTTCCCCCAAGATAATATGAAAAATATGTAAGAAATTACTATTAAAATTATAATTGCAAAAAAAAGTTCATCACTGGAATTTTTCCAACTAAAATTTAAAATAATTTTATTAATAATTATATTTAACGATTATTTAAGTATACCTATATAAATGGAAAATAATAAAATTTCCCTCTATTTAGAAAAATAAAAGTGAAAAGTTTCTTTTTAATGTTTCAGCCAACTTCAATACCGGACCTTCGACCAGTGCATAATTTTCCAAACATCCTAGAACCCTTCACAAATACAAATGAGCCAAAGAGTAATTCGCAACAAAATAGTCCCAGTAGTAATGAGAGTAATTCACCAACGGAACTAAATTCTTGTAAGAGATTAACGGATAAACCGCCGTTAATAAAACGATTGGCAATGGGTCTCACTGGTGGCAGAGACTTCATTGGTTTTAATGGTGTCGATGATAGTTGTCCTTTAGTCAACGATAATAGTAGAAATAAATCCCATACAGGGGGCTATGTTAATGAGGCGATTATTGACTCCGAAGGTTCCAAATCATCTTACAATAAATTAGCGCCCTCCGAAAGTATCGACAATTCAATAAATGCCTCCATCACTGAGAAGAATTTTTGCACTGAAAATGAAAGGTAATTTTATTCCTCATTAACAAATGAATTTTTCTATTTCACAATCGTACTTGAAAATACTTCAAATAATAAATAGTATATTACGATACTAGGCCAGAAAGTTGGATTTCCTGGCCGGCGTGATATATAAGGCCGAGGCGAAGCCGAGGCTTTATATATCACGCTTTTTTCTGTATCCCCAGCCGAAAGTACGTTAAATAATTATTGTTTGAATAATAAAATAGCTCAATAAGTTGCCCGCCCGACTTTTGCAAAGTCGAGGCGAAGCCGAGACTTAGCTGCATGAAAAAAAATTATAAGTAAAAAATAATTGTAAGTAAAATTTAAAAAATAGTAAACAAGAAATTTTCTTTTACAAATAAATATTTAATAATTAAAAAATAATAAAAGAAAATAAGAAATTTCATGCATTATTTTGATGACTGTCAGTTGTTTTCAAAACGTGAGCTCTGTATGTAACGTGTCTGTGTGGTTGCTATGCTAACATGTACGTGTGTTGAAATTCTTGTAACCAATCAGAGCGCTCGTTGGGTCTGTCGAGCCGGCCACAAAAGTCGCTATTCCCGGAGCCAAATCAGACCGGGAAGACAGTACTTTCGGCAAAGGGATACAGAAAAATATTTTGAATTATATTATGTAAATTGAACAATTATAAATAAATTATTGATATATGTAAAAGTGACAAAGTAGTTTCCAGTGAATATAGTGGGTTTTAAATAGCATATTTAGTGAATAATGAAAAGAAAAAATTAGGAAAACTTATTTAATTTAACAAAAGTAATCATTAAAGCATTTATTTATTACATATTTAGGGCAAATTAATGTTTACTTATTGAATAATTAATGTTTAAAGTTGGAGATGTCAGTTCTACCGTGAGATGTATGCGTGTGTGTCAAGAAGGCTAGAGACAGGAGGTGAAACTTCGGTAGTGGGGATGAGTCAAAAGCCTTTCATTAACCAGGCGTTTTTCGTTTCGAAAAGTCGCCGGCGCTGTGCTTCTGCACATCACTCACACATTCAAATTCTTGTATACCATGTTTTACATATGTGTATGATATGATTTTAATTTGAGGTTAACTTTAAAGTGCAATCAGTGCAATCGAGACACAATTGACAATGTGTGTCATAACGGATATATAGAAATAATGTGAGTGATTATTAAATTAAGTGTTATTCAAATAGTTAAAAATTCCGAAAACGTGCTGTGTGAAAAGTTGTAACAAGAAGAAAGATAAACCTACACAACACTATGACTATTACTTTTTGTTAACTTTTAATACACTTCATGCTACAGTTTACACATTTTTTTGTTTTTAAAACGTTTTTTTAATAACTAAAAGATGTTTGAAAAAATAAACACTTATATTTCATATTGTATTTGTATAGAATATATTTTCCCGTGTTTACGTGTGTTAGATTGCGCAGAAGTCCGTCTGGTCTACTGCGGCGAAAACTTTTTTTGAAAGTAAACGCCTGACCATACATCAGCTGAGCGACTCAGCATTGCCATACCCACACTACCGAAGTTTTACCTCCTGTCTCTAGTCTTCAGGGAGTAAGACTAAGGAGACTGAACTGACTGTGTGAAGTCTCTCAAAAATGAAACCTTTTTCTGTAGGGGAACTATACTCGCAGAATGACAAAACTTATGCTCCGCGCGCATGCGCAGTACATGCGCATATTGCTCTCTTTCTTTATATCGTAAAATATAAGCAAGTGAGAGAACAAAAACTTATCAATAGGTTATGGTTATGTTTTGACATATGATTCTTGAAATAAAATTTCAAAATTATGGTTTGTTGCATACCAGGATGCAAAACATCATATTACAATGATCGACAAACGAATAAATTAACTTATTGATAACTTTTATGTGACATTTAAAGCTGTTTATTTATAAAGTATATAATTAAAGTAAATTACAAATTCGTAAATATTATTTATTTAGGAATTGTTCAATTGTTTCCACAAAGAATAAAACACTTTGTAGTTATATACCAAAAAAATTGATTCTGAACATTTATAAATATTTCATTATATTATTAATATATTACTTATCACTGAAAAATATACACTCTTTAGTATATATTTTTGTATGCACATTTATATTTATTAAATTAATTTTTTTTTCAATTTACTAATAGTTATTATTAATAATATTTCCTGAAACGCACAACATTCACAAATATTAAACATAACCTTCTCAACTTGTAGCTTATAATGATTTTCTCAGTCGCATCTGAGTTACTGAGAAAGACAGAGACAAATATGTTGCATGTGCGCATGCGCGAAAACCATAATTTTCAGTCTTACGTATAGTTTCAATGCGACGAATGGTTTCACTTCCATAGCATTAGTTCAGTCTCCTTAGGGCCAGTTTCACCAACTGGCGGTTAAGCTTGGTTCAACTGAACTCGTTCAACTCTTGATCGTCAGAGTTAACCGCTAGTGCGTTTCACCAGCCTAATCCCAGTTTAAAATGAACGCGTTTAGTTAATCTACATTCCCTAGAATTTCCTAGTGGTTATGGCGCTTAAATCTAACCACGGAATGTAAATAAACAACTGAACTAACCTAAAATATAAATGTCGCATAGGTTCTTTTGAGCTTAATATCTATTATTTTAAATTAAAACCTTAATAAAAAATGAGTAGTGGAGTAAAAAACAAGTTGTTCTTTTCATGATCATTTAGCTTCCACAATATAATATATACCAATTGCTTAATTTCTTATTCTAGAATAATTATTTAAAAGTATTTAAAAAAATTTCAAAAAATACAAAATTTGAATTTTTTGTTAAAAATAAAAATATCGTCCGATTAATTTTATAAATATTGATAAAATATATACTTTATATACATGAATCGATTCGTTTTCATGGCAGAAATACAATTTTGACAAGAGTAAATGAAAATTTTAATAAAGAAAAAAGTTATTTCAAAAATTACAAAATTTAAATTTTTTGTTGAAAGCAAAATTAGACAGAGAGAGCCAAACTTTTTTTAAAGTCCTTTTTTATATTTTCTTAATTTAATAACATAATAGTGCATACATATTTTGTGATTGTGGTGTAGTAGATCAGATTTGTAAATTTCAATACGAATGTCAATTAAATGACCATTTAAAATTTGTAAAGGCTTTTATATGAATATTTCTAAACATTTGTCAGATTTATTTTTCTTTTGTTAAAATCCTTCTTTCTTTATATTTTTTAAATTTAATTTACATTTAATAAAGTTAAATCTGTTGAAACAAAGCATCTACATGCAATATTGTTTTGATAGTGGGTCAGTTTAGGATAGAATGCTTTGTATATATAATGATTCCACTTATTTTGTTAAGTAAATAATACACTGAATGTTAATTAATTTTTTATACCTATAGGTAGTGGTCCCTTAAGAAAATCAACAAATCGTAAAAGTTCGCACTGCGCTTCGGGAGAGTTCGGCAAGTTGAACGCGGTCAACTCTGCTTAAACCGACAAAATTCAGCGATTAAAATATAAACTTAGTTCAACCGAGTTGAACGTGGTTAAGTAGATGGTGAAACGTACGCAGAGACTTGATCTCGTTCAACTCATACTTTGAACGAGTTCAGTGCTTGAACTAGTTTGGTGAAACTGGCCCTTATAGTCTAAGAGCTGGCTACATAAAAATGCATGTTATAAGGTACATGAAAAATTAATATTTAGATAGGTTCCATTTGAGTCCCTGAGTACCGAATGCGAAGTCTGCCTGCGCGTTCTGGAAGATTAAGCCCGCGAATTGACGGTCGAAAATGATAAATTTGATAAGGAAAACATGTGATAAAGGTCATGGATAAAAGTTATAAAATTTAAAAGTATTTATCACCAGTAAGCTTATAAAATTTTGGCAGACAATTTTTTGGACGACAAAGTATTGGCAGACAGTGTCAAAGTTGCGTAATCCGTAGTGAAAAAAAGATCATAAGAGTCATGGCTAAAAATTAATGGAAATAGTTAATGAACTCTTATGGAAGCTATATGTCAAGTGGCAGACAAAAATTCGGATGATAACATCGAGGCAGACAACGATAAAAAGCGCGGTTCCCATGCGATTTCGCTGATTTCGCGCTATTTGCACTAAATAGTTAATTTTTGAAAAATGTGAAATTTTTTTGGGCTACATTAATTTTTAAACATAATTTAATGATTTTATAAACTTTTGAATGAATATGATTTATTTTAAATTAAATTTTTTATAAAAATAAAAAAAATAAAAATTGAAAATGTGATTTTTGTATAGAATTATTAATTTTTTTAATAAATAGATAATAGATTGAAACTTCTGAGAAAAATGTATCCTAATTTAAAAAAAGAAAGAGCAAAATCGGTCAGTTGGTTTAAAAGTTAGAGCAACTTTTCAGAATTTGAAAAGTTGGTATCAATTCTGGCGTGAGCGATTGCTGCCGCGTGTCGCTGGATTCCCCCACTCTGCCCACCTAAGGAAGGTAAAATCTCGCACTCACTTTTACCTCTATTTTAAACAACTAAATAGTGCAGTATGGATTCCATAATTTTTTTGGTAATAGTGTTGTTAAGAATCTTTATATTTGTATAAAAAAAATTGTAAAATGTTAATAAATAAAATGTCACGATTAGAAATATTTAAAAAAAATTATTTCCCCCCCCCTTGGAGTTAGGTGCAATTTTTTTCTTTTAAAATTTCAAAAAAATATGTTTAATTAAATTACTTTTTTTCCCGATATTATGAAACAAAAATTGGCTGAGATACGCTTAATTGTTTATAGTGGGAAATATTACCTCTTTTCTGCAACTATTTTTATGCAAATAAACAAGAAAAATCATTTAGTGTGTATATGTAAAGGATAGATCTCATCTTCGCAAGTGAAACGATATTTTGAAAAATGTGATTTTTTGAGTTTCCTTCATTTTTCATACATAAAAAGAAACATTGTTTTTAGTAAACAAATGGATTTATTTAAAAACTATTTATCCCATTGGGCTCAAATTTGATAC